CGACCCCGGGAGCCGGGCGACTCGGGGTCCTGCGGGCTGCGGGCTCTCCACCTGCCCTCCGCGGGAGAGGCGTGCGCTGCGTTTATTTATCGGGTTGTTTTTGAGCCTCTCACGTGCTCTGTTTGGACGAGCGGGGCGTGCAGCCGCCTGGCTCTCGCGCCGGCCCCCGCCTCGTGGGAGACCGGGATTCCATCTTTCGTGATGGCATCCTTAAGGGATCGGGGTGCGTGTGTGCGCGCTCGGGTGCCTGCATGCACGGTGGGGATGGAAGGTCTATGTGGGCGATGCTGAGGCATATGTAGCTTTGACTCAAATATGCCCACGGGGCCCTAGGATGAGGCACCGTCACTGCCGAGACTGGCGAGCGTCCGCCAGTCCACCAAGGCCTCTTCTCCCCCAGGTTCTTGCGTTCTTGTGAGGCTTCCTAATAGGATGTACCTTGCCTCCGCTGATTATTTTTCTGTTTCTCTCCCAGCCCTGGCTGCGTTCTGCTGACCTCCAAAGAATGCTCACCGTCTTTCCCTCGTATCCAGAATTCCCAATTAGAGACTTTCCTAGTTTGCGGAGGTGCCAGGAACCTGTTCCTTTATACTGTGGTCTTGCCTCCGCAGCTTTCTCCAAACAATAAAGTGGTTAGCTGTGAAACAGTTTGTGAAGAGTAGGCCCCAGGCCAATCATGAGAACTATTATATGATCATTCATTCCCCTTCTGTAAACTGGGTCCACCGGGAAGCTTTGATTTTCTTTATTGTCCCTATACCCCCTTCCAAACCGGGACATTAACTACCATAAATCCTTCATTTATGCCACCTTAAGCGTCACATTGAATGGCTTTTATGATCTGAGGAATATTTTATTTACATCAGCCATCAAGTTGGTTTCTTTCAATCGCATGCAGTAGGTTAATGGATCTGAGTCACATCGCTTTGGTCTCTCTATAACCCACCATTCATGCTTTCACCGAAGGCTTGATTGTATTTCTTTTAGATTTATACTTTATGCTAATTTTCATTTGCCATTGTAGTAACACTTGATGTAATTGTCATGCATTCTGTTTGGAAGTTGACATTATCATTTTGATTGTTGACTATTACAAGAAATAATTTTGGTTAAATAATAGCTATTCCTTAAACCTTATAAAGATAAAATGCAATAATGGGTAAGTCTGCTAGTATACTTGGTGAGCATTTAATTCGGGAGATTTTATCAGCTCTGGATACAGGTCTCTTGTACTTCTGTGCTTTGAGAAGGGCCTTTGATGGAAATCTGTAGGCAACTAGGGGAGACTTGTGCCCAAATTTCCTCAAGTGGGAGTGAGCTTCCATAAAACTAGTCCAGGCATGTCTAAACAATTTATAGCATTTGCTTTTCTGTTTATTTTACTGATTTCCTTTATCCAGATGTTTTGACACCCTCCTTCACCATTTCTCTTCTGAACTGGCAACTTGTTTGTGGCAATTTGGTACTACCGTGTCTCTGTACACGTAGTATGTGTAGTCTTTTAATATCATGAATTATAATTAGGTAGTTAACCTTTCTGAAAATGAGGTCTTTGTCTCCTTAGTTTTCCTTTTAAAAATGCCCATATATCTTATCTTTGCTTTCTGAATGTCTTTCCTTGATTTAATTAAGAGGAATAATATGATTCTAGAGAACCTGACTTTTTAAGTGTTCTAAATCTATATTGCTTTTCTTTTTTTTGGTAATCCTTACCCGAGGATATTTTTCCATTGATTATTTTTAGAGAGTATGGGAGGGAGGGGGAGAGACTGAGAGAAACACCCATCTCAGAAAGACATCGATTGATTGCCTCCTGCAGGCACCCAGGCGGGGGCTGGGGATTGAGTTTGCAGCCAAGGTACAAACCAGAATTGAACCCGGGACCCTTCAGTCTGTGGGCTGACACTGTATCCACTGAACAAAACCAGTAAGGGCTGTATTGCGTTTCTTTATGTTCCCAGAGATATGGACAGTATATTTCTGCTTAAGAATAAAATAACATTATTTTTTTAAATGTTGTGATTAATGAGAAATATTGTTAAATACTATGACTAATAATTTATGTACTTCGCTCTTAAGTACATTCTTTCCCCATTGCATTGTTATTTTTTGCTGCTCCAAGACCCTGACTTTAGTAAAAGGTTGTTACTTGATTGCAGTTTCCACATGTGCATACTTATTAAATATGCTAATGGAGACTTTTTAACTTTTCGAAACTTAGTTAATTTTCGTAGATCTGTCATTGTCATAAAATGTACATATTTCTATTGCAGCTGGCAACTTTCAGCAGTTTAAATTAGCCATATTCCAAGAAAGGAGATTTTTAATAATAATGAGAGAGTGGAAGGAATAGTGAATTTTGAAATAGAGATTTTTAATTTGGGTTAGAATCATGGAAACTCAAAGTGAATACTGTAGTTTATTTTGAGATACTCAGGATTAGAAGGTGCCATCTGGGTAGGAGGCAAGAGAAATCATGGATAAAATGGAAGAGGGATTGGAACATATTGAGCCTTTACTGAGGGAAACAGAATAGAGACTATCAGTCATTTAATAAGAAGGGGAAAAGAAAATGGAAAGACTGGGGAACCTGAGTTATATTGGGGCTGTGGTATTGTGATCCACTACTTCATTGCACCTTTACTTGATGCATTATTTTGTGCAGGTACTTTACCTATAGAGGGAGAGAAAATATTCTCAGAGGGGACTCATGAATGTAGTCTAAGGCTATATGAAGTGAGGTCCTAAATCCAAGGGCCTGCAGAAGCAGGCAAGTAACATGAGTACAGGCAGCAGGCTGAGTCGGGGCTGAGGCGGCCTGGAGAAGGCAGGCGTGGCTGCCAGGGACACTGCACTTTCAGCACTAAGTACTGTTGCTGCCCAGGTAGGACCATGTGCCAAGTGTTGCCAAATTGTCCTTTTATCAAGAGAAGCCACTGCCCTAGCCAGTGTGGCTCACAGTTGATTGGAGTGTCATCTTGTGCACCGTAGGGTGGTGGGTTGGATTCCCAGTCAGGGCACACACCCAGGTTGTGGGTTTAATCCTCATTGGGGGCCGTTGAGTGGCAATCCACCGATGTTCCTCCCTCACATCCATGTTTCTCTCTCCCTCTCCATTCCTCTCAAAAAAAAAAAAAAAAAAAAAAAAAAAAAGAAAGAAAAATAAAAGAGAGAAGCCATGAGTATCTTGATTTGTTGATGACCAATTCAATTTAAAAAATGAAAGCAAAACAAAACTGTATATTCCAAGCAGAGCATATCTGTGGCTGCATGCCCTACAGGCTGTCTGCAACCTCTGCTGCGAGGAATCATTGGCTCAACTCTTCAAGTATTAGTAGTTGATCAGAAGGTACACTTTTCCCCCCAGAAGGTACACTTTTATTTATTTTTGTCACATGGTAACTCCGAGTTATTCCTAGAGTTCCTTGATATTTTAGCTAGTTCTAGAGATGTGTTAAGGACTCTTTATTTCATTTTTTTTTATATGTAATTTGGATGAAAGACTAGTTTGGATGGAAAGTAGACATTTGCTCAGGTTCTTAGCCAGTGGAATTTTGTCTATGCATGATTATCAAGAGTGTTTAAGTGTAAGTGTGCCTGAGGGAAGGGGTGTGGACTAGGTGACCTTTGATGTCCATGTCAGCCATGTGATTTTTAGATTTAATTAGTCATGGATGCAGTGCTATTAATGTTCAAGGGCCAGAGGGACCGCCGTTGGAGCTGTGCCAAGCAAAGCCACGCCAGATCTATAAACCTGTTTTCAGTGGAAGAGCATTGTGTCAGTGGGGACTAACAGAAGGGAAGTCTGCTAGATGAGGCCAAGTCCCGGAGAAGGGATAGAGAAGTAGAGGAAGGGGTCAGGTGGTGTGGTCATTTACGTGTCCTAGTGCAGATGTCATGTTTTTAAGTGAGTATGCTTTTTGCTTTTGTTTCAGGTTTGGAGACGTAACTTCTCCGCGCGCGCGCATCGGATTATGCCCAGGGCTTTTCTACCCAATGATCCTCTTGCAACACGCCGGGCTGCCTCTGCCTAAGCGGCCCCCATCCTCTCCTCCTATGTCAGTGGCCGCCAGGTCTACAGGGACCTTGCAGCATCCACCGCAGAGGCCTTTTGTGCAGGAGGCTTCCTTACCGCTGGCAGGGGAAGAAGAGTTACCAAAGGCAGGGGAGCAAGACCCTACCCTGGAGGATCTGTGTAAGCCCCTTTACTGCAAACTCTGCAATGTCACCTTGAACTCAGCGCAGCAAGCCCAGGCTCATTATCAGGTAAGGGAAGAAAAGAAAATCCGGCATTCAGTGGGCGAGCATTTGAGGGCTGTGCCCACTTCAGAGTTAATCAAGGTGGCTTAGTGAACAACTAAGTACATATTAGCTTGTTTGACTAAAAGTATAACGTTCCTACTTTGAAAGAAAGCATAGTTTTTTCATAAAATGGGGCCTTAGCCTCCTCTACGTAGCGGTGTGATAGCTTACCTGTTGTAAGCAAATGTGTACCATGCCGTCTCTGTTGGTGAACAAGCCTGTGATCCTCGGGAGAACAAGTATTTGTTATCAGTGGTTGGCAAACTGCGGCTCGGCAGCCACATGTGGCTCTTTGGCCCCTTCAGTGTGGCTCTTCCACAAAATACCAGCTCTTCCACAAAATACCAATTTCTGCGCATGGGCCTCGAAGTTTCAATCGCACTGTACGTGCACGCCCGCACGTGGTATTTTGTGGAAGAGCCACACTGAAGGGGCCAAAGAGCCGCATGTGGGGCCGTGGTTGCCGACCACGGTGTTACATGATGTACCAAAACTCAATTTGGTGTCAAAATTGCTTGGAAGAATCCGTCTTATAAATACTCCCTTCCAGCTAGTACAATTTGCATTGGTTCAAGCTTATCTCTATGAATCGTATGCTTTTCCCTTTTAACCCCTGACTCTTCTTATAAATCCTGTCCCTGCTGAGGACAACACAGGTATCGTCTGTAGTGAGGACAAAATGACGTTTGAGTATTGAGCCTCACCCTTCACTTATAAGAAGCATACTCTGCTTTCCTTTAGCCTGTCAGTGTGAACTGATAATCATTTCTAAGACTTAAAGCTTTCACCTCTGTGTAGCATAGCTAGTGGAAAAGACGGTTTTAAAGGACAAATAGAAAATTAAATTTAGGCTAGAAAGACAGGTTACAATACCTCTTTCTATTCTAGATTGTTACCTGTTTAAAATAATACAGTTTCCTTTATTGGAGAAAAGAGACCTGAGGCAATTGAGGCCAAATGCTACTGAATGGAAAGATGTCTTCTGGGTCGTCACTGATTTGACTGTTTGTTCTCTCCATGAATATTTGCAGTAATAAGTCCATCTGGTAGAAAGATGACTTACACAGGCATTTTTTCCCTATCGTGCCACTATAACTTTTTCCAACTTCAAGTTTTTTACTCTGTGTGTAAGCCTTCGTTTTGTTTTGATCCTAAAGACGGATGATTGTGTCACCTTGTGACTGCATCGCTATTTTGATGGTGTGTTGTTTTCTCAGGTATAATATGTTGCTTCCCTGGAGTTATTTTTGTTTGGGTTTGTTTTTCCCTCAGGTGCAGAGTGTTGAGTTAATTAGATTTCTCAGATCTCGGCACATGTCATCATTGGTTCATAAAGACATCTTCTGGTTTTATAATTATAATAGAGGCCCAGTGCACAACATTCATGCACCGGGATGGGGGGAGGTCCCTCAGCCCTGCCTGCACCCTCTCGCAGTCCGGGACCCCTCTGGGGATGTCTGCCAAGGGGTCCTTAGCATTGCTGTGGAGGCGGGAGAGGCTCCCACCACCGCCACTCCACTCACCAGCTGTGAGCCTGGCTTCTAGCGCACTGACCACTAGGGGGCAGCTCCTGTGTTGAGCATCTGCCTCCTGGTGGTCAGTGCGCATCATAGCGACCTGAAGTTCCACCGTTAGGTCGATTTGCATACTAGGATTTTATTATATAGGATTTTTTCCCCTTGCCCCAATCCCCGCTCTCATTCCCTCTGTGTGCCAGTTCCCACCACCTTGATTTGATACAGGGTCTTCCTTTGCCTGTTTTATCATTCAAGTGGAGTCTGTTAGGATGATCCATCTAAAACCTAAAATTCAGTGTTAGTTTTCCTCTTCATTCATTCTGGGGGATTGTTCAGTTTATAGCCTAAGACTTACTTTGAAAAATCAAACCTGGGTTTTAAACTTTTGAATTTTAGCTGTAAAAGTCCCTACTAAATCATTAACTTGGAAGCAAAACCCAAGCCTTTAAAGAAGACTTGTTCACTTTTATGAGGGAAAACTCTTGAACAGTGTGTCATTTAACCTGTGTGCATGGATTATACCTATACCTCCCGCCTTTCCCCCCCTCCTAATATCATTTTGTATCTCTGTAGACAGTAATGGATGCTTCTGAGATCAGTTTGAGCAGGGTCATTGAATTATAAGGTTTAAAGTTGGTAAACAGAATCAGCATTTAATCAGTTTTTTTAAAAATTTAGTCTATATTTGTATAGTGTGCTCTGAACTTTTTAGTTGACAACATTAGTGATTATATGTAATTGCAGCTCTGTCAGTCATACAGTGAATACATAAATTAGAAAACGTAGGAAAAAGGAAGTATAATTTTGGTAAATTTCTCAATAATCAGAATTATGAAGTAGAAAAGTTGGAAGAGAAAGGACAGACTATCACAGAGGACAATTTAAGCAGTCAAGAACTAGAGTTAACATAAAGAAGTAGCAAGTAGAATCTAATAGAAAATGAAAAGTTTGTGTGTAATACTAGCATGTTTCTAAGAGTGTAGAAGCAAAGATTTGAAAGAAACCAATGTTATTGGTATTTCTTAAAGAGGGAAATATTTTTTAGAGAGACAAGGCGAGCAGTTAATATATAAAAGTGCAGAGCAAGTTCATTAGGAGAGCAGAAAAGAAAGCTAATCTTAGAAGTAAGATCTGGATTTCAACAAGACAGAAATGCTCAAGACGAGAGAATGTGGATCAAAGAGAATCAGAATAATAAACAGAGCATGGGTGAATCAACATAGAAGGAAAGCATAGAAATGTTAGCTGGAAAGATGCGTCAAAGGCTACACAAAAGGTATGACAAACTGGCAGTGATTATTAAAGGTCCCATTTAACATTTCTTGTAATACTGGTTTGGTGGTGATGAACTCCTTCAGCTTTTTCTTGTCTGGGAAGCTGTTTATCTGCGCTTTGATTCTAAATGATAGTTTTGGTGGGAAGAGTAATTTTGGTTGTAGGTCCTTGCTTTTCATCACTTTGAATATTTTGTGCCAATCCCTTCTGTCCTGTAAAGTTGCTGCTGAGAAATCAGTTGACAGTCTCCTGAGAGCTCCCTTGTAGGTAACTGCTTTTCTTTTCTCTTCTTTTTTTTTATTGCTTAAAGTATTACAAAGAGTATTTTCTTTTTGCTGCCTTTAGGATTCTCTCTTTGTCTTTAAACTTTGACATTTTATTTATAGTGTGTCTTGGTGTGGACCTCTTTGAGTTTCTTGTTTGGGACACTCTGTGCTTCCTGAACTTCTATGTCTATTTCCTTTACCAAATCAGGGAAGTTTTCTGTCATTATTTTTAAAAATAAGATTTCAATTTCTTGTTGTCTCTATTCTCCTTCTGGTATCCCTTTGATTTGAATGTTGTTACACTTGATGGTGTCCCAGAGGTCACTTAAAGTATCTTCATTTTTTTGGACTCTTTTTTCTTTTCTTCTTATTGGATGTTTTCTGCTATCTTGCCTTCCAAATATCTGATTTGATCCTCTGCGCCTTCTAATCGGCTGTTGATTCCATCTAATGTATACTTCATTTCAGTTGTTCTATTCGTCATTTCTGACTAGTTCTTTTAAGAAGCAGAAAAAAAATATGAATAAGAAAATATCACAAAGAAAAAAGAATTCTCACTAACAAAGGCCCACACATAATAAAAGCAATTGATCAACCAACACTAAAGCTAGTGCAAAGGTTAAAAGGTCAAAAATGTAGGAAGATAATGTGTAATTACAACAGTAAATTAAGGGATACTCAAAACATACTAGTAGTATACACAAAAGAAGTAAAAAATAATGACAAAAACATAAATATGGGACAAGTAAAAATGGTAGTGATTATGGAATGTATTTGAATTTAACAACCATCAACTTAAAATAGACTGCTATAAGCATAGCATGGTACATATGAATCACATGGTAACCACAAAGCAAACATCCACAAGAGATATACAAGGAATCCAAACACAATACTACTGAAAGCCAACAACATACAAAAGAAGAGTGTAAGATAATAAGAGAGGAATAGCGAAGAACCACAGAAACAATTAAAACAGCCTGGCTGGTGTGGCTCAGTGTTGAGCATCGACCTATGAACCAAGAGGTCCCTGGTTTGATTCCTGGTCAGAGCACATGCCCGGGTTGCAGGCTTAATCCTCAGTAGGGTCGTATATGAGGCAGCCAATTAATATTTCTCTCTCGTCGATGTTTCTATGTCTCCATCCCTCTCCCTTCCTCTCTCTCTAAAATCAATAAAAATGAAAAATAAAAAACAATAAAATGGCAGTAACTACATACCTATCTATAATTTATTTATATATAAATGCATTAAATGTTCCAGTCAAAAGACAAATGGGTAAAGAAGATGTGGTATATGGAATATTAGCCATGAAAAAGAATGAAGTTCTTACTATTTGTAACAACATGGACCTAGAAGGTAAAGGTCAGGGGAAATAAAGTCAGACAGAGAAAGACAAGTACTGTCTGGTTTCACTTATATGTGGAATCTAAAACAAACAAACAAAACAAAACAAACTCATAGATACAGAGAACAAGCTTATGGTTGCCAGATGGGTGGGCAGGGTTGGGGAGCTGGGTGGTAAAAGTGAAGGGACTAAGAAGTACAATTTGGCAGTTACAACATAGTCATGGGGATGTTAAGTACAGCATAGCGAACATAATAATATTGTAATAATTATACATGGTGTCAGGTGAGTATAAGACTTATCTGGGGGAACACTTTGTAAGGTATATAGATGTCTAACCACTGTGTTATACACCTGAAACTAATATTATAAAATGTCAACTGTAATTTAAAAATAAGAAAATCAACTGAAAAAATAAACAGGCAGTGATTAAAAAAGACTCCTAAAGGCAAGAGTAAGACCAATGAGTAAGGCTTACCAGAACCTGGAATAGGCAGAATGCAGTGGTTGTGGGCTAATAGAATAAGGTGGGTTGATGAGATGATGAAAGTGAAGTTT